TTGACATATGGTAGTCTTTTTGCAAATACCTCCCATGGGTACTTTAATATGAAATGATCAAACGTTCCATGAAATAATATTTTTTCTTGCCTGTGGATACATAATAAAACCAACACCATCAAATTCTTTATTTCCATCTCTAAGGAGAACCCATGAGCCATCCTTTCAATTAGCTGCAGCTTCTTTCTGTCTTCTGGTTTTGTTTTTAGTGAGAATATCAAGATTGGTATAAATTAGTTCCACTAGTGGTATGTCTACTGAGTGACTGTAGGATAAATATCTCACAGGGAGTGTACCAATAGCCAAGTTAATGTTTATAGATAACATAAAAACTGATTCTTGGCACCATATGCTTCTTTTTTCTACCACTATTATAGGAGCAGAAGGAGGCTGCATAGGTATAAAGACCATTATATGTGTTTCTTTGCTTAATAGGCATATGGGGCAGAAGTCTTCCCTAGTGATGAACTCCTCTGTTCTTTAGCTGATCCTAGAAAGCAGGGCATAGCCAAGGGTCACCTCAACAACACAATGAGCCATCAGAATAGGAATTTGATGAGATAGTATTGATATGTGTAGTATAATGGTGTATTAATAGTATAATAGTACAATGGTCATCATTATGATGATGATAATGACAATGACATAATAATAAAAATAAAATAGTTTATAGAGATTCTTAATATTGGACCTGTGAACTTTTTTCTTTTTTTGAATATTTTGATAATTGGGGACAGCTAGGTGGTGCAGTGGATAGAGCACCGGCCCTGAAGTCAGGAGGACCTGTGTTCAAACATGGCCTCAGACCAAACACTTGACACTTACTAGCTGTGTGACCCTGGGCAAGTCGCTTAACCCCAATTGCCTAAAAATAAAAAAAATAATAATAATAAATAAAAATAAATATTTTGATAATTATATTTAAATATATTTGCTTTTCCTATGTATTTTATTTGTGCATGTAAAAACATTATTCTGAAAAAGGGTCCATAAGTTTCTCTAGACTACTAAAGACTGCCATGATAACAGAAAAAAAGGTTAAGAACTTCTGGTATAGAATAACAGTTGAAAAATGTATCTAGTACTCTGTCCAAATGAGGAATATGACTTTTTGAAATTTTATCATCAAGACTTTCTAACTCAATAGGTTTTCATTCAATTGATTATCTGCTTTGTGCCTACATCTTTCTTATAGTGTTTCAGGCTGACTTCATTGGTATAGACATCTTTTGGGTGAGAAATCCACCTCTACTAATATAGGTCCCTACCTTCTCTGCAACTTAAAGTCTTAGAGAATTGTCTAGAATACTTAGAGGTTAAGTGATCTGCCTAGGGCTGTACTACTTGCTAAGTGGCCTAGGCAGTACTTGAATTCAGGTCTCAGCTCTGAGGCTGGTTCTTTTTTTTCTTTTTTTCCTTTTTATTAATTTATTTTGATTTATCAATAATCACTTCCATATGCTTTTGAGTTTAAAATTTTTCTCCCCCTTCCTCCCTACCAACCTCCCCAAGATGGCACATAATCTGATATAGGCTATACATTTACATTCATATTAAATGTATTTTCACATTAGTGATGTTGTAAGTAGAAATTAAAACCAATGGGAGGAACCATCAGAAAGAGGAAATAAAACTCAACAGAAGAGAAAAAAATTAGCAATTCGGCTTCCATAGTTCTTTCTTTGGGTGTGGATAGCATTTTCCATCACAAGGCCTCTGGAAATGTCTTAGATCCCTTGTATTGCCAGGAAGGGTTAAGTTTATCAATATTAGTCATCACGCAATGTGGCTATTATTGTGTACAACATTCTCTTGGTTCTGCTCACTTCACTCAGCATCAGACCATACAAGTCTTTCCAGGTTTTTCTGAAGTCAGCCTGTTCATCATTTCTTATAGCACAATAGTATTCCATCACATTCATATACCACAACTTGCTCAGCCATTCCCCAATCGATGGGCATCCTCTCAATTTCCAATTCTTTGCTACCACAAAAAGAGCTGCTATGAATATTTTTGTACATGTAGGTCCTTTTCCTGTTTGTGTGATCTCTTTGGGATATAGCCCTAGAAGTGCTATTGATGGGTCAAAGGGTATGCACATTTTTATAGCCCTTTGGGCATCGTTCCACATTGCTCTCCAAAATGGATCATTTCACAACTCCACCAACAATGCATTAGTGTTCCAATTTTCCCACATCTTCTCCAACATTCATTATTTTCCTGTTTTGTCATGTTGGCCATTCTGATAGGTATGATGTGGTACCTCAGAGTTGTTTTGATTTGCATTTCTCTAATCAGTAGTGATTTAGAACATTTTTTCATATGGCTACAGATGGCTTTAATTCCTTCATCTGAGAACTGTCTGTTCATATTCTTTGACCATTTATCAATTGGGGAATGGCTTGTATTCTTATAAATTTGACTTAATTCTCTATATGTTTTAGAAATGAGGCCCTTATAAGAGAGACTGGTTATAAAAATTCTTTCCCAATTTTCTACCTTCCTTCTAATTTTAGTTGCATTGGCTTTGTGCAAAAAACTTTTCAATTTAATGTAATCAAAATTATCTTTTTTTGCTTTTCATAATGTTCTCTATCTCCTGTTTGGTCATGAATTCTTCTGTTCTGCATAGATCTGACAGGTAAACTATTCCTTGCTCTCCCAGTTTGCTTGAGGCTGGTTCTTTATCCACCATGCCACGTTACCTTTCAATATGAAATAAGTGTAATCAAGCAGAAAAGATTCATGCATTGGTTGTGTTTGAAAATGTGTTTCTTATTCTAGTACCTCTAGTTCTTCATCCTACAGCTTAGAATAGGAAACATACTTCATGTCTTCTAGAATCATAATTGACTGTAGCATTGATTAGAGTATCTTAAGTCTGGAGATTACATAGACTCTTTTCTTATGTTTGGGGCTTTAAGGTAATGCTAGTGCCACCTCAGGAGTGATTTTCATGTGACCTTGTTATAGTGTACTTATAATATTTTGATGTAGTGATCTCTTATGTATAATGTTATGAATTTACAAGGTAGTTTTTTCATTTATATTTCCTATTTGGAATAGTTAATCTTATCAGCAATCATTTACTAAAAAAAAATCTTGTGCTAAAATGTCTTATAATAATAAATTATTATTATTAATTATAGTAGCATTTATATGGCACCTACTATTTGTGAGGCATTATGCTGACAGCAGTACAAGTATATCACTTGGGCCTCACGACAAACCTAGGAGGTAGGTGCTGTTATTTCACCCATTTTGCAGTTGAACCTAAGGCAAACAAAGACTTAGTAACTTGCCAAAGGTTACATAGCTGATAAGTGTCTGAGTCTGGGTTGTAACAAAAGTCTTTCTAACTCCAGGTCTAACATCCAGTGCTGTATCTACTGCACTGTGCAGTTGCCTCCTGTCATATTAATTTACAGGATACGTTCATTAGCAAATAATTGAATTGGAAATAATTATTATGAAACAAATTAGGAGGCTGAAATACTTGAAGAGGCAGAGTTTATATTTTTCTTTAATTTCAATACTTTTGGTTTTTTTTTTAATGTAAAATTACCATACTGAATAGATAGTATAAGAAAGTAGAAGGAAATCTAAATTCAGGACATTTGGTATGAAGTTCTAAACTTTTCCATTTTCTATCTGTGTGACTCTGGGTAAGTCTTCTTTACAAATATCAGCCTCAATTTCCTCATGTAAAATAGTTACTTTACATAGATTGTCGACCCCTATATCATTGTTGAGGAAAATATATTGAAAACTATAATGGGCTTAATAGATAAGATCAGTTATTACTGTTAGACTAATTGTAAATTGGTCTCCTGGCTTCCAGTTGCTTCCATCAGCATGCTGTTATCAATTCAGCTACCCAATTGATACTTTTTTTGGGGGGGTGGCAAGGCAGTGGGGTTAAGTGACTTGCCCAGGGTCACACAGCTAGTAAGTGTTATGTGTCTGAGGCCGAATTTGAACTCAGGTCCTCCTGAATCCCGGGCCAGTGCTCTATCCAGTACACCACCTAGCTGCCCCCATTCCAGTTGGTATTCTTAAAACACATCTGACCATTCAGTTCAGTAAACATTTATTCAGCTCTTCAGATACAAAGGTGTTTAACATAAATTTGTACCCCCAAATACATACATAGGAATTCAAAGATGAAAGTAAAACAGCCCTACCATCATGGAACTTAAAATATGCTGAAATATTACTCCTCTACTCAAAAATCTTCATTGGATACGAGTTGAAAGATGAAATATAAAATTTTCTAGTTAGGCATTTAAGTCCTTTAGTTCTATGGTTTCTAAATACCTTACCAATCTTATTTCATATTCTTGCCCTTTGCTGTTCAGTCCAACTTGTCTGCTATTCACTATTTACAACCTCTGGCTTTGCAAAGGTGGGTCGCTCATATGTAGAATCCACTCCATGATCTCTGCCTCATACTAACTAGCCTTCAAAACAGAGCTCATGTGCCACTTCTTATATCAAGTCTTTTTGATTCCCCTCTAGATCTTAGTGTTTTCACCATAATAGTATTACTCTGTATATATTTGTATTTACTTACCTATGTATTTAGTGTTTCCACCCCAGTGGAATATATTCATCTTGAGAAAAAGGACTATTTTATTTTTATCTTTGTGTTCCTGGAACCTCTGCCATAGATTGGTTGAATTGAATTAATTACTAAGAACTTAAAATGGAAAAAAAAAATAGACTTATTGCCTTTATATACTTTATATGGTGTTTTAATACTTGTTAATACCACTTAGGAGCTCTATTATACATGGCAAACTTCACAGTGCTCAAGAAAATTGACACTTTTGGAGAATTCTTAAAGCCCCTTTCATTTGTTGTACTGTGATTCTTAAAGGGTTAGTTATTACATTACTACATTAATGGGTAATTCATGTAGATGATTAGTTGTGTACTGAGGAGCAATTCCACTTGATGTTGCTAAACTTCATATTTTTTACTTTTTATTCAATTCTAGATTACCAAAGAAGATTTCCTGACCTTTGATTATATACTGTGTATGGATGAAAGCAATCTGAGGTAATCACATTTTTTAACAATGATGTTTTAAAAGTATTTCCATTTATGTTTAACACCAGTAAATAGGTCAGATGATACACTGCCAGTAGGGACTTACGATCTTTGTTTTCTCGTAAGATGGGGTCATAATGTACAGAGTATTATTTTCAAATTGTAACAAGCCCTGAGTTATTCGAAATTGGCAGATAGCCATATTTATAAGAAGATGCATGCTAAGATAAGGAAAAGTTCAATTAGTCTGATTTAATTTGAAGAAAGGCAGGTTGTGTTACACTGCTTTATATAATAAGATTTATGCTTTCTGCATTGGGCTTGTATGATGTTGATAGAATGAGTCATGGGCATTGCAATTTCCCTCCTTTCCCCTCCCCACATTTTGTAACATGATTTAAGTTTGTATTGATTGATAGAAGGATATTTGACAAATGCATTAACTTTAGGGTTTTGTATTAAAGAATGAACATTTAGAAAAGCTTGAAATAATATTTGAACTGATTTTTCTTATTTTTTTAACATCTTTATTCAAACAATCATTCTAGATTGGGTAGTTAAGACTTTGAGTATGACGTTGGCAATTGTCTGTTGTCTAGGGGCCAAACTAGCTAAGTTAGAAGAGTCCCATCACCAGAGCCTACTAACATCTTATTAAGATGGAAAGGTTTTAAGAATAGACTTGGTGACTGACTATCTCTCATTCCAAGCATAGCTAAGTTTGGAAAGGCTTATCAGCAGATTTATTGCAAGTTAATTTATTTCCCAGTCATAGCAAGTCTCAAAGATTATCTACTACATTGTAGACTGCTATGTGTCATCAGTTGTGAGTACCAACACCAATGAAATTGGTTCAGAGAAATGTGTGCACAAATGCAAAAATATATTACATTGAGATGATTTTTGCATTTACTACAAATACTGTTGCCATTATTATTTTAAGATACCAAGTGTATTCTTGGCTAATTTATATGAGTCTTTCATTTTTTATTCATCTTTCAAAATGAATGTTTTAGTACCAGTTACAGAGTGGTAATTTGAATATTTACTAAATAAAACTAAATATTTACTTTTGATAACAAATCCAATTTCATTTTAAACTTGTAACATTTTTTTAAAAGTAGTTTAATATCAGTGACAGCTAAGTGGCACAGGTTGGACCTGGAGTCAAGGACATCTGAGTTCAAATCTGGCTTCACACACTTATTAGCTGTGTGACCATGAGCAAGTTTATTGACCTTTGTTGGCCTCAGTTTATTCATCTCTAAAATGAGACTAATAGATCAAATGCAATAATATTTGTAAAGTAGTTAGTACAGTGCTTGACACGTAGTAAACACTATGTAAATGTTAGCTGTTAACTATTATTAACTAGATGTACTTATTTCCTATCATTCAGACTTACCCCATAATTCTTTTATATATTTGGCCAGAAAAAGCCCAGCTGTATGATTTCAAATATTTATTGGAAGCGGAGGTTTGTTGTATGGAAATCACTCATAGATATGTAAAAGTATCAGGGCAAACCAAAAAAATTATCTGTTGTGTATTCTCATTTTAAATTTTATTTTGTTCTTTTGAAAGTGTTCCTTACTGTGCCTCCAGTTTATTAGTACTTGGGTAGAAGTTAATTTTGTTTTCTCTTTTTCATAATTGCTTTAAAATAACGATGATTTTTTTTTTGTCTTTTTTTTCTTATATGTGGAGCTTATTATCAGTGTTCTCATAAATATCTTTGAGGTTATTAAGATATTTTCAGGAAAGTGAAATGATCTTAAATGACAAGTATTTTACAATTTGAGAAGGGAAAGGCTTCATTATAACTTGTAATGGAAAGGAAAATAATTAAAATTTAAAAAATAATTAAAATAACTATCCCTCCCCCAGAAAATAGTTTGTCTTCATGCAAACCACCTAATTTCTAGTATTTAATTAAGTTAGTGTTTATGTTTAGAGAAGTGATCACTGAGGTTTCCTGGGCCATTGTGGAAACAAAGGAAAAAATGAGGGACAAATGAAAAAAATACTAGAAAAAAATAACTGAAACAAAGTGAGCACTTTTTTTTTTTTTGGCTTTTTGGTGAGGCAGTAGGGGTTAAGTGACTTGCCCAGGGTCACATAGCTAGTAAGTGTCAAGTATCTGAGGTCGGATTTGAGCTCAGGTCCTCCTGACTTCAGGGCCAGAGCTCTATCCATTGTGCCACCTAGTTGCCCCTGTGAGCACATTATTAATAAAGAGACAGTACCAAATAAGTTTGGCAAGATAGGTGAATTAGAGAAAAGTGAAATTATTCCAAAGGGTCTTGAAATAGAAGGGACCTTAGAGGTTATGTAGTCATATCCTTTGATCTCAGAAATGAGGAAACCAAGGTCCCTGGAAATTGACAAAATCACACAGCTAGTAGGTTGTAAAATCAGGATTTCATCCTTGGACTTCAAACTTCTCATTCAGTTCCTCAGAGCTCTTCAACTAAGGAAAATACTTTTAACTACAGTTGAATATTGTTTTAAAGGGCTATTTGCTATTTTGAATGTAGTGATGCCTTTTCCTAATATATGCGAACTACTGAATAAAAAAAGAAAAATATTATCAGCTAAGCTTTTGTCATCAACTGTGGTTTCAATTTGTGTTGAAAAACTCAACCTTAGTGATATAGTTCACGTAAAGATTGATTTATTTTCATAAAGGAAACTGAACAAATTACAACTGATAAACTTCAAGTTTTCTAGATTTAAGTTTCAACTTATTTACATTATTTAAAATTTTAAAATATGGTAAAGGAATTAGAGTGATGAAATCTAGGAATTCTGATATAGGCCTAAATTTCCTCCTCAAATAAATATTGAAGGATGTATTTAAAAAAAAAAAAGGAAGAAAATGTAATAAAGAAGCTGGAGAGTTTATAGTTGATGCAAAAGTCAGGAGATTGTCACTGTAATTTCCTTAGCTGAACTAAAACATGATTGAAATAGGACCTAAAGACAATTATTTTTAACACCTCCTTGCAAGGAGTTATCAAGATTTTATTACATATTGAATACCGAACAAAGGAAAGTAAAGAAATGAAAAGAGTATAACAAAGGTGGGAATATAATTGTAGTCTACTGCAAAAAAATGGAAGGGATGCTTATTTAATTGGGTGAAATGATAAGCCCAATTTTTAATAGGTTATACTTTGGGTTAAGGATATCCTACTCTATATGTCCTATTGGAAATTGGAAAAATGGGATGAAAGAAGTTTGAAGCACAGAAATGTAATATGGGACAGGGGGGGATTGCCTGAGGGGAAAAGTAGATAAAAAGTGGAAAAGAATACGTTGAGATTGTTTCAAGAAATATTTAAAAAAAAAAAAAGATTGATAACCACTGATATTGAATAGTTTGGTTACAGACCCTTAGAAGCAAAGAGCTGAATAAGATAACCTATTAACATCCTTTGAAGCTCCTTCCTTCAATCTATGAAATTTTCTTTCTCATTGTCCCATCATCCTTGACAGAAAAGAAAGGGAGAATAGTTTGTACCTTCCTATCTTTATTGAATATCATTGTCAGTTTTTTATCTTAAAGTTCAGAATTTCATGTTTTATAATTGAATCTCATTTTTATGTAGAATACCAGTAAAAGTACAATGAAGCATTGCAAGTTATGCGGCAGCTTGTGTAGTTCCTTTAAAGATTTTTCTTAAGTGTTTACTTTGTTTGCTTTAAAACCAGGCCACTTTGCTGGATTTTGTTATGGTGATATAGGTATTTTGCATTGCCCTAGCAGATGTCCATGTTTAACCTGAAACCATAAGTTTAAAAACTAAGTTGGTTTTAATTTTACAGAGATTTGAATAGAAAAGTTAATCAAGTTAAAAACTGCAAAGCTAAAATTGAACTTCTTGGAAGCTATGATCCACAGAAACAGCTTATTATTGAAGATCCATATTATGTAAGTATCATTTGTACTTCCTAGCTTTAATTTTTCTTTTTCTGGGCTTTAGGGAAGCAAACATGCCTTTTTATCTTGCCCTGTTAAGTCACAGCTTTAAAGCAACTGTACTTTAAACAATGCTTTTTATTTCTTTCCATGTTTTTAGGGAAATGACTCTGACTTTGAGACTGTATATCAGCAATGTGTGAGGTGCTGCAAAGCATTTTTGGAAAAATCTCAGTAAGGCTCACATTCATTTATTGCTGAAGGACAACAGTGATTGACATCGACTTAAAAATGATGTATGTATAGCAGTTGATGTGTTATTAAAGAGTAATAATGTACTACATTTGGAGACCATCATTGTTTTTTCAATTCATTCAATGTTCACATATGTTCTAATTTGAAAGGTAATGAAAATCAGTCATTATTTTTGAAGTAAGACTATTTTCTTACATCAATTATAATTATCAAACAAGCTGGAACTCCCAGTCTATGCCTCAGATTTAAAAAATGAATTAATTATATAGTGGAACAAACTAAAATTTGCATGTTAAAACTAAGAAATCTCAACAGTCATTTATTAAAAATGTTTGATAGAGTTTTACTTTGAGATGGTTTCATTTATGTCTAATTGGAATCTTTAACAGGTAGTGAAAACATTTGCCTTTGTGTCCTAGAAGACAATAGAAAATAACTGAGGTCATTGTGAAAAATTAAAGAAAAATGTATTTTATTGTTTCAGCAGTCGTTTCATGACAGTAACTTAATGAAGAACAAATATTCTTTCTGTTCATCTTTACTATCTTTTAATATTTTGGCTGTCTATTAAAATAAATGTATCCCCTGCCTTGGGAGTTTGTGATGTGAATTTTATACAATTACACTTTACAGTGAGGAAATAAAGGGAAATTATTTATGTATTTAATCTTTAGAACTTGGTTAATCTCTTTATCTTTATACAGGGTGTCCCAAAAGTGTTAATACTGTTTTAAGTCATTAAAGCTTTTGAGATATCCTGTATACAAGGATTTTGTTTTAAAGAAAAGTCAGTTTGTCTTTTGACTTCTGTTGTCTCCCTCAAATTTTTGGTTTATAACAAATGAACAACAACATTTTACTATTTTATATCATTTGGTCTTTTTTGACATAAGTTATTTTACTTTCAACATCACCTGAAACTTCAACTATACACAGGGATGAATAATGTAATAAACTGAACATTTGGGATCAGAAGGAGCAATAATATATAATGCAATATGGTAAAATATAGTACCTAGAGAAATTTGGAGTGTGTTAGTAGATTTTCTTTCATCAACGTTTTGCAGATTTGTAGGATGTGTATAATATTACATCGAAGGGATTATACTTTTTAATTCATTTGGCCACCTCACAAAATTTAATTGTTTTAAAAATAAACAGAAATTTGCAAAAAGATTTTGAGATACAGGTCTATTCCCTAACTTTTGTATGTTGTTGAAGAAATGAAAAAAGTATAATAGTAATTTTAAGAAATTTTTCTTTCTGTTGATATGGATTGTAATGTGTAATGTGTTGATATGGATTGTAATGTGACCTCTGAAACTAGGAAGTAAAAAGTATAAATAAGCAAATAACTTTCACATAATTCACGAAATCTCTATGAAAAGTTTCTCACTTTAGAGAAGGCGGTTAAGACAGTTTTCTTTTCAGGCCACAAAAAGCAAAGTAATTTTCTCAAACTGCCTAGGGAGAAGAGGAAAAGAACTGGACAAGGGAAAAGGGATGATAAAACCAGCAGGTGCCAATGAAGCCCTGGCTCTGTGTCTGGCAGTATCTCTCAATGGGGTATGAAAGGGTTTGGAGGAGCTATGTTTGCCTTCCTCATTGATTCATTTTTCCAGTCTTCTTCAGGCTTAGGTCTAACCCTTCCTGACTTATAGCTATTATATTTCTTTACACTACTCTTTGATCAATCTGCAGCCTTTATCCTAAAATTATAGTGTTCCATGATTTGTTACAATGAGGCATTACATATGGTATGTTGATTGAAAAAAAAAAAAAGATAGGTCTTGGGATTGTTGAATGCACTGCACAGTTTCCCAAATGCAATCTAGCCTGCTCTTTTTTTTGTATTAAATTCTACGCCCAGATCATTATCCACCTTCAGTATCTATCTAAGCTGTAAGTACTGATACAATAATTGAGTCAGGTGTCTCTCTAACTGCATATATTACCCTAGCAGTATATGTTCTTTGTTTACTTATGGATCTCCTTGAGGATTTCCTGTAGAGTTCTAGAAATCCATAAAATTAGCATAGTGTCATTCACAAACAGGCATCTGGAGGGCCTCATCATCATTAGGGAATTTTTCTTTCGTATGGCTTCCTATGAGATATCCTGCTTAACAGGGACAGACACCATTGTTGAGTCTGTTTCCCTATTTCAACCCTCTACTAAATATTAATAGAAGATCACTAATCATTATCTCTGTAGCAAGGCATCTTTGTACGATTATTATATGCTTGGGGATGTGCTATTATAGTTTGTGAAAACTTAGGGACGTTTTTATTGAAGTCTTGTCTTATTACATCATAATAGTTTACCCCACTATCCCTTCCTTATCCCCTCTCATAGATTTATCAAATATACTAAAATGTATTTTTAAAGACAAAAAAGAAATCATCATAATTGATAAATGCATTGAAAAACTCTGAAATTCCCTTCCAATTTTCTTTTTACAATATTGTTTTTAGATTCATTTAAAAATTTTTTTTGAGTTCTTAATTCTTTCCCTCCTTTCTGCCCTTCACTTCTCCCATTGAGAAGGAAAGAAATGTGATATCCGTTACAAATGTGAAAGCATGCAAAACATTCCATATTGGCCATGTTGCCAAAAAAAAAATAAAGCCGGCAAAAGAAAGTAAAAAAATTATGCTTTAATCTGACCTCATAATCCATCAGTCTATTCTCTGGATGTGGATAGCATTTTTCATCTTAAGTCCTTCAGAATTGTTTTAAATTATTGTATTCATCAGAATAGTGAAGCCATTCACAATTGATCGTTGTTGGAGTATTGCTATTACTGTATACAATCTTCTCCTGGTTCTGCTTACTTCATTTTGTGCCATTTCATATAAGTCTTCCAGGTTTTTTTTTTAAACATCCTGCTCATTTTTAATAGCACAATAATATTCCATCACAATCATATACCACAACTTGTTCAGTCATTCCCTAGTTGATTGGTATGCCCTCTATTTTCGATTCTTTGCTACCAGAAAAAGAACTGTACAGATAAATTCTTTTTTTTTCCCTTAAATTTCTTTGGTATATAAACGTAGTAATGATATTGCTGTGTCAAAGGATATTATAGACATTTGGAAATACTTCCAAATTGCTCTCCAGAAGGGTTGGATCAATTCAGATCTCTACCAGCAGTATGTTAGTGTCCCAGTTTTTCCCTTTCTCCTCCAACATTTGTCACTTTCTTTTTCTGTCCTATTAGCCAATATGATAGATGTGAGGTATCAGTACCTCAGAGTTGTTTTAATTTGCATTTCTCTAATCAATAATGATTTAAAGCATTTTTTCATATGACTATGGATAGCTTTGATTTCTGAAAACTACTTGTTAATATCCTTTAACCATTTATCAGTTGAGTGATGACTCATTTTTATATATTTGACTCAGTTCTTCATGTATATGAGAAATGAGGCCTTTATCAGAGAAATTTGCTGTAAAATTTTCCCTCAGTTTCCTACTTTCCTTCTAATCTTGGCTGCATTGGTTTTGTTTGTACAAACTCTTTAATGTAATGCAATCAAAATTATCCATTTTACTTCTTATAAACCTTTATCTCTTGTTTAGTTATAAGTTCTTCCCTTATCTCCATATATCTGACAAGGTAAATTTTTCCATGCTCCCCTAATTTGCTTGTGATAACACTAAATTTATATCTATCTCAATCATTTATTCATTATGTTGGTGTACAGTGTAATATGTTGGTCTGTGCCTAGTTTCTGCCAAACTGCTTTCCAGTTTTCCTAGCAATTTTTGTCAAATAGTGAGTTCTTGTCCCCAGAGCATGGATCTTTGGGTTTATCAAACAGTAGATTATTATGGTCATTTATTACTGTGTATTATATACCTGATTTTATTCCACTGATTGACCTCTCTTTTTCTTAGCTAGTACCAGATTGTTTTGATAACTGCTTTATAATACAATTTGAGATCTGATACTCATATACTGCCTTTTTTTACACTTATTTTTCATTGATTCCCTTGATGTCCTTGATCATTTGTTCTTCCAAATGAATTTTATCATTTTTTCTAGCTCTGTAAAATAGTTTTTTGGTAGCTTGGTTGGTATGGCAATGAATAAATAAATTAGTTCAGGTAAAATTGTCATTTTTGTTATATTGGCTTGGCCTTCTCATGAGCAATTACTCTTTCTTTAGTTGTTTAGACCTGTGTTTATTTGTGTGAAAGATGTTTTGTAATTGTGTTCATGTAGTCCCTGGGTTTGTTGTGTCAGGTAAACTCCCAAGTATTTTATGTTATCTGCAATTATTTTTGATGGAATTTCTCTGTCTCTTGATGCTAAACTTTGTTGGTAATATATAGAAATGGTGATGATTTATGTGGGTTTATTTTATGTCCTGCAACTTTGCCAAAGTTGTCCATTGTGTCAATTAGTTTTTTGGTTGATTCTCTAGGGTTCTCTAAGTATACCATCATTTCATTTACAAAGAGTGATACTTTTGTTTCCTCATTGCCTATTCTAATTCCTTCAATTTCTTGTCTTACTGCTATAGTTAGCATTCCTAGTACAATACTGAATAATACTGATGATAATGGGCATCCTTATTTCACTCTAGATCTTATATGGAAGACTTCTACCTTAACCCTATTATAGATAATACTTACTGATGGTTTTAAATGGATTCTAGGAATTCATGTTGAACTTAGGTCCAGTTCAATTTTTTTTTTTTTGGTGGGGGGGTGGCTTTGCTTGTGGCTGTTTTGATATCAGTGTCTTCTGAGTTTGTTATCTTAATCCTTCCTGTCTCCTTAGTAGCTTTTCATGGTCACGTTCTTTTGTTGTTATTGTCTGCTCATTTTTCCAGCCTATTTCTTAATTTTATATTAAAGTTAGGTCTGCTCCTAGGCTGGAAGGGGCCCTTTCCCAAGCTTCAAGTTTTTTGTGTTGCTGCTTTTAGAACTAGTTCTAGGACTCTGTAAGTTTTAGTGCTTCAAAGGTGGTGTGGTCCACGGAGATGTGTTCATTGCTCTCCTGGACTGTGCTCTGGTCTTTACCCAGGAAGGAACTTTACTCCCCTACAGCTGCTAGTGTTAGTGCTCTTTTTGAGCTCTCCTGTCAACCTCCTGGTCTAGAAAAATATCTCCCCCAACCTTCTGTTGGCTTTGTCACTCCAGGATTTGATTTTGAGGTCTTAGATTTTAAAGTTGTTAGGATGGAGATTTTGAGAGTTCTGCTGAGTTGCTGCCTATATTCCACCATCTTGGCTTTACCTCCCATCCCCTTCTCATTTTCACCTAGGTTATCCATTTTGTGCATATTAGGCTATTTAAAGAAATGATAAAATGGGCATGTGGATTGATAATTATAAATTATTGGTTGATTTTTTTTTCATTCTTCGGATATTTTCCCCACTTTGAGGTACTTTGAAAGTTTATTTTTGAAATCCTCTTTCCTTCGTCATGACTTCCCCTGTATGTATTTGTTCAGGTATAGATGTTCTTGACAATTTTCTTAAGTGCAGTGGCCACAGTACTAAAGCGTAAATTCAAAATGTCATTCCACTATCATTGATATAGAGAGTAAATCATTGTAGAAACACTCAGGCCTCTTTTGTCCCCCTATCTGTTTTGGTTAAGTTATTAAAATCGTTTGGGTTAATATAATAAATTTTAAAGCCATAAAATTGGAGTATATAGTTATCCCCTGCCGTAAGTTGTTACAGATAGATGGTTTCTTAAAGTTAAACTAAATTAAACAAGATTTCTGAGTTTTTGTTTTTAGTAGTTTGTTTATACTAATAAATAGATGTTTTATATTTAGATTCAGCTAAGATAGAGGGCTGGATTGGAGTCCAAATCCAGCTTCAAACACTTACTAGCTATAGGATCCTGGAAAAGTCACTTGATGGCCCTCTGTTTCAGTTTCCTTCTATGTTAAATGAGGATAATAATAGTATTTACCTGTCAGGCTTGTTGCAAGGATAAAATGAGGTGATATTTGTAAATTGTTTTACAGACCTTAAAGAACTATATTAGTGTTAACTCTTACTATTTTACTTTCTTAGTTTCCTTGTCTTAAGTATGCAGCTTCAAACTCTAGCCAGGAGAACTGGATTTGAGTCTCAGCTTTGAAAGTGACTAGTGTTGTGACTTGGCTAAGTCTTCTTCATCCATAAATAAGAGGGTTGGGCTTGATGACTTCAGAGCTTTCCTTCAGCTCTGAAATGGTGTTAATCAAGTTGCTGAGCTTTCTTTCTTCTAGAATCTTATGACCGACTGACTAGCTGTATTTTGTGTATTGACATGGCATAACTCGAAATTTGCAAAAAAAAAAAAAAGCCTTTAAGAAGAGGATTAATTTTTATCACTTGGAAGGGTTTTAGAAAGAAGTATATTAAAATTGGTGGTCCCAAATAGGATCATTAAATCATCTGTGAAGAGTGGTAAATGCTGTAGTACTTGCAGTGTTTGCTGCTGTATTAATCTCATTCACATCCTTTATTAAATAATTTATTTTACCTTAGTGAGAAATTATGCTAAAAGTTTGTAATAACTTGTTTGTAAGAATACCATTTGTTAATTTTTTTACTTGTGATTAGAGGCTGTAAGAAACCTACATCATTTCTTTGCTTTTTTTTCTGTTTTTTACTTACTCCCTGGCATAACTATCTTTAAGATTATTTTTTTTTAAATTCTTGTATTCACAATATTGAACACATTATGAGTGAAAAGAACTCATAATAAGAACAGCATACTATACCAAACATTTCATTTATTACTTATGCTTATTTACAGTATTTACATATTGCACATTAGCTGGAATGTTTTATACAGATATTATACAAAAAAAAAAAGAAATTAGCTTAGGTGGAATCCCCACACACAAATTCACACTCCTCTTGTCTCCAAAAGATTTTTTTTTTCAGTTTTCTTTTGTGTTTTTCATGCAATTTTAAATTAGGCTCCAGGAAAATTAGAAAAGTGGTAAATTATCATGAAACCTCTCCATATGCTATTATAACAGATTATTTTGTGAATTCTTACTTCACAAGAATGCTCTTTGAAATTTCCAGATCAGTAAAGAAAATGGTATTCTTCTGGCTGAACCCTATATTCAGCATTTAGGAGGACTACATGTAGAAAGTGGAGTGGTAACATTATTCTTTTAAAAGAAAGTATTAAGTAGAACTGGCGGGTATAACAGTATTGACAATATACAAAACACAAGTTGAAGGAATTATGGAAGAGTCTGTCAGTCTGCAAAAATAAATCTCTTGTTCACAATGGAATATGTTTATAAAGGTATGAAGTTCGATTTCCCTGTTAGGTTCCAAGGCACTTCTCATGGTTCTTGGCATTCTGTTGCTTTATGGCTCTGCCCCCTGTGGGGAATAGAAAAATAAATTTTATTTGGATATCTGCTGTCTTTCATGAAACTATGTTTACATCTATGCATACATATGTACATATATAGGAATATATTTCAAATAGAGGATACATAAAATTATGTTTTGATATATTCCTCCATCATTTCCTAGAAATTTTAAGCAGAATTCATATTGTGACAGTAACTAAAGATATTTTGCCACTTTTTTTTCCTGAAAATACCTTTGAGTCCTACTATCACCATTTTTTAGTTCTTTTTCAGAGAAATTGGTAAAAATTAGATTTTAGGAAAAATGTTTTCCTTTTAAGTAAAAGTTATTGAATACTCAACCAAGCTCAATTTGAGGAATAGTAGTACCTTTAGATAAGCAAAATGTTGCAATAGAATATTAAATTTGGGAGTCAGAAGATGCAGATTTAAATTCAGACTCTGCTACTGACTCTCTTTGTGTGTGGCATATAAATCACTTAACTTCTCTGGACCTCAGTTTGCTCATCTGAAAAGTGAAGGAATTGGACCAAATGATCACTAAAGATCCTTAAATGCTAAATCTATGATCAATCAATTAATAAACATTTATTCTGTGCCTATTGTATCCCAGGCCCTGTGGTAAGCACTGAATCTTGAGTCTTAGATCCGTGGTGTCAAATAAAAATAGAAATGGGAGTCACTAAACTGTACAGAAGGATCCCTATTGCTTACATTGACTTAGAAAAGTACGTCTTAACATTATCTATGTTCTATTGTATTTTATTTATTTTGTTAAATATTTCCCAGTTACGGGAGCATTCTGGAATATTGCTGCTATGTGTTTGATACTTCTGATTTAGATCCTTGTTTTGGTATATCAATAATTCATTAAATCAGGTTCCATTAATTGATTTGTTTTTTTTGTAATTTCAAATCAGTGGGAAGAAAACTAAGGTCCCAAAAGGTTAAGTATGTTTCTGAAAGTCATACCTGTACTAAGTAACAACCAGAATTTGAAACCAGGTCCTCTGACTCCAAATCCAGCACTTTTTCCACTGTACCATGTTTGTATCTATGACTGAACAATTTGGTAAGCAACCTAATAATTAAAACAAGATGATAAATAAAATTTTTGAGCTAGAAAGGAGAGACCTTAGAGATCATTCAGTTTAGCCCCTAAATTTATGTATGAACAAACTGAGGCCCATAGTGGTTGAAGTGACTTATACAATCATTCAGGTAGTTAAGTATTAGGACCTAACACTTCTTATTCAAAAACAGTTCCCTTTTAGTTATATAACGTGGATGGAGGTAATATTTCACAATAAAAAAGGTTTTCAGGCACTGCAAGGAACCCTCATGTTACATAAATTACTATCTTAGATAATAGCATATTAATGAAGAATAACAAGCTGGAATTGTTCTATGTAAATGAAAGAAAACTTTCTTTCCAAATAGTCTGTAATTTAGACTTTTCATTAGTTCATATTGACCTCTTCCAGTTAAATTAAAATTAGCAAGGTTTGACTGTATTTATGACAGTTTTAAATTTGAATCATAATTTTATCATTGTGGTTTACTAATACTAAGAGTTCCTTGGCAAAAAGGTGTGCCCAGATATTAAAAAAACAAAAATCCAAATTCAATTATCTGCTTAAAAAAATATAACCACTTAAGACAAAGGATTAGAGTTTAACAACAATTTTTTTTAAAAAGCTGCCACACTTGTCTGTTTGTGTTGTGTAGTATTGCATCTGTATTCATTAAATCAACCTGATTTCATGTAGCTACATGGTAATCTTAAAGTCCATTTGATAGCAGTTGCTGATGTAGATAAGTAGGAATACACAGATTGTTTGCTCATCAATCAAAGTTGGAGGGATATGTTGGAAAGACAGATAGGTTTTTCTGACCTGACTGCAAAGACAGCATCCCAAACAGAAATGGATCCTGTAGCTAAAGTAATTAGACATAGGTCAGATTGTATATGTCCTTACTGTTACAGAAACATCTTTCAGAGTTTTGTGCCTTGTTTTCTGTAAATGGGCACACCTTGATTTGTTGTTCAAGGTGAAACCCAGAGATCTTGGGAGTGGAAAAATGAGAGCTCGTTAGCCTTGTGTCTTGACCACCTTCAGTGCTTTTTAACTCTTAAAGCAGATGGGGAATATTTGAGTTAAAATTGCTGAGGAGTGGGGAAAGGGAAGAAGCATGACTATCAGAAAGACTGAAGTAGAATCAGTGGAAATCTTAATTGGATCAACACATTTATTGAGCATGTCATCCTAGCCTTGCCTCTTCCTAGCTCTATAACCTTGAGATCTAGTGATTTAATTTCTCAGAAGTTCAGTTTCCCTACCTATAAATAAAAGGAGCTAGACTATATATGAGATAATACATGCAATTTTTTAGATCCTTTCTAGCTGAAAGATCTATGAATTTTCTCAAATTGACCCCAGACCCAACCTCAACTTAGAGAAGTTTTGAGTCCTTCTATAATTGTCACAAATGCTGCCAAAAAAAAAAATGAAAAATGATAACAGTGATTACTAATACCATTATCTGTGTCACCTTATAAACTACCTAATGAAATAATATTTTTCTCTCATTTTTCATCCAATTCTAAATATTTATAAGCATTATTTTCCTATACCATGTAGCATTCCTGTGAAGGAAAACCATCATTAATTCCGTTTATCATAGGGCAAAACATTGTGACTTTTGTGAGATCATAGCAAGGTGTGATAGCAAAAGCAGAACTAGGATTGAAACTGTTGACTCCCTAGCTCTTCAGATGTGATATCTATTCAAATTAGACAGTTTTAAAAGCCTCCATACCTATATGAGAAGTCTGTAGATAATAGACCTGTATCTCCTTCATTACCTCTAACTATCTACCCAAGTCTATATAGTTAAACGAGGAAAATGTCCACTTAAATGATTATAGGTGAATGGATCATAGGTGAAGGTTACTTTTTTTTTTTTTTTTTTTTACCATGTGAGGCTGTCCATCTCCAAAAGCATAAATTATTTAACTACACAATAACATTTAGTAAAATATCTTAAGACAGCTTACACATTCTTTAAGGCCTAGATCAACTGTCATTTCCACTAATTAACCCTTTACCCTTGATTACCCCTAGATAGAAAGGACCTCTTATTTAATTCAGCAGCCTTTTGTATTCCTTTTATGAGTTTGGGTAGACCTGTGATTTCATTATCATTAGATGCTCTAGGTTAAAAAAAAAAAAAAAACTTTCTCTAACAGTTTTTAGCAGGGCTTGTCCTGCAACATGGGGCATTTTGGGTTGCCTGGGACACTGAGAGGTCACATAGCCAATATGTGTCAGAGACAGTACTTGAACCTCGATGTTCCTGTCTCTAAGATCCATTTTTTTAGCCACTATTCTACATTCCCTCATTTTGTGCTTTTTATATGACAACTTGTATTTGATTTGTCTCAGTGGTATAATAGGGTTTTGGACCAGGAGAAATCTGGATTCAAATCTATCTTCCCACACTACTTAGTTCTGTGAAACTGAGTAAATAATTTACCAGAGACTGAGTTTCTTCATCTAGAAATTGAGGACAATAATTGTTGTTTTTACCAATGAGGACCAAATGACTATGCATAAAACATTTAACAGATCTTAAAATGCTACATAATGCCCATTGTCTAGCAGCTTCAGGACTTCTGGGTGGGGAACCTGCAGCCTGGAGGCCACATGTGGCCTTCTAGGTCCTTTTGACTGAGTCCAAGTTTTCAGAACAAATCCTTTTATTAAGGGGATTTGTTCTGTGAAGTTTGGCTTCAGTCAAAGAGCCTCACTTGAGGACCTAGGGGGTCACATGTGGCCTCGAGGCAGCAGGTTCCCAGCCCCTGATAGCCTATTGCTAGGATAGTTGTAAGAAGTTGGAGGGCAAGAAACCTTTTCGAATTTTTCCTGGCATCTCCCTATTGCCAATATGAGGAACTGTATATAGTAGTCTTTGAATGAAGGAAGAAAGCAAGTGAAGACTAGAGAGAAATCAGTACACATAAATTGCCAATTAATCACTATTTTCTATCCTCCCCTGATGTAAAAAAGTATGGTACAAGTTTCTCCTAGGTACAAATGTATTGACCTTAACAAGACTGGTATGTTTCTGAAGTTGAATGACAGAATCTTGAATGAAATTTAAGTTATTTACTTCAGTCTTCATTTAGGAAAGCTGCATGGTATAGTGGAAAAAACCCTAGGGTAGGAGTCAGGAAACCTTGATATGTGATATTGGGTAAGATCCTTGATATTCTCATCTGTAAATTGGGGTTAGGCTAAATAATGGTAAGATTTTGTGCAGCTCTATTATGTGAATCTATGGAAATAACACTGACGTAAGAGATAGGCCCCCATCCTGCCACTAAGTTTATTTTGTGATTTTAGGCAAAGGATTTAACCTTCCCTGAGCTCCATTTCTCATTAGTAAAGTGAAATGACTTTCAGTCTCCTTTTGTTGTTCAGTCATTCAGTCACGTCTGACTCCTTGTAACCCCATGGACTGTATTATCCATGTGGTTTTCTTGGCAAAAATACTAAAGTGGTTTGCCATTTCCTTCTCCCTTGGATCACCTTTTAGTGATCTAGTGAGGCAAACGGGTTAGGGTTAAGTGACAAAGCTAGTTAAGTGTTGAAGGCTGAATTTGAACTCAGGTCTTCCTAACTCCAAGCCCATGCTGTATCTACTGTACCACTTAGCTGCCCAAACAGATTCCTACAACTCTAACATCTTTATTTTAAAGATAAATTTCCAATGCATTTGATGTGGAGATGGGTGGGAAAATTAGGAAAAATTGACAAATCATTTCTTACATTGATTTTAAGAGATCAATGTAAAAATTTTAAACCATGTTCTCAAGATATATGGCTGTAACTTGATAGGAACAGATCATAATGCCAGTTTTATAATTACTATTACAGGTTAAGGGAAAACTAGTTGCTGCATCAGAAACTTGGGAAAGCACAGTCATGACTGTTAGTAAATTAAAAATATGGTAGCTGCATTGAAAGAGGATAATGGTGGAATTCATTTGTCAGTTCCTTTTCTCAAACTTGCATGAGTACAGTTATTCATATGCTCATTCATGTATACAAATAAATGAGTAAGAGCTTGGAAGTGAATGGTCACCAAGTTTTGAACATGCAAACACAAATGTGTAATCAGCGATACCCTCAATTATACACTGAGTCAACTGCTGAAATTAACTAGCTAATGTGCTTTGTTTTATATTAACACATCTTCTGTGCCAAATGAATCGTCCTATGAATAATTCATAGCAACTGCCAGGGGTTCTTTATAATGTGGACCAATAGGGGGTACCTTGTATTTATGACCAATATTTGGAAAGATTAAGATACTTCCATCAACCTTATTGAAAGGGAGCCAACCTTAGCTAAGAGAATGATTGTTTTCATACTCCCATGAATTTTTCAGGTCCCAAAGACAGGATTCACAGCCTTGGTATGCAGTCCAACATTATTATCCTATCAGGGTACTTACCTTATCCTTCCATGCACACTGGACTCACAGCCAACCGAGTAAGAAGCCTGGCACATCTTTTATAGTCTACAGTGAAAATAAATCATAAATGGGTCTATCAGCAGAGCAAGGCTCCAAGACATGACTATTTTTCTTGATAAAATACATGCTTAAATGTTCTTTAGAGCATTTATATAACTACAATATCTATCCAGCTTTTAAAATATAATTTCTTTGGGAACAACAAAGATCTGCAGTGGATGCTAAGTTGTTTATTAATAATTGATGTTACTTGAGGGGTTTCTGCCTCACCTGGCAGAAGTGAAGAAATGACATAGTTTGAAAGGAGGGAAAAATCTACCACTGAGCTGTTCTCTTTTTTTTTTTATTGGTTTCCTTTCCAGTGGTTATCAGAGTTCACTAAAGTCCCAGTTTTTAGTCCATTTCCCTATGTAAGAAGTTTTAAAACAGGTGCACTGTTTCCTTCAACAGTGAACATTTGTTAGGCGCCTGATAAACAACTACAATGTATAATATGTGTGTTAAAGAGATATAAATCACAAAGCTGGGGCAGGGAGGAGGGAAAGGATGTTATGAATTAGATTAGGTTAAGCTTTGGGAAGGAAGCAGTGTTTGAAGTGGGTTTTAAGAGGTGGACAGAAGCTTCCAGGCATAAGATCACCATGAGGAAAGACAGCTAGGTACATATAGTATATTGTATGTTAGGGTACATTTATTCAGTTTGGACTAAAGTATAAAGTGCATCGAGGGGATTGATAAAAGATAATAATGATACCAGGTGTTGGAGAATCTTAAATGCCTAGCAGGAGTATGACTTTTCCTTGGGTGGCAACAGGGAGCCATTGAAGATGAAGATAGTATTGGACCAGATATATGCATAAAAAGAAAAAAAAAA